CATTTTATCATGTGTTGTTGCCAACTATTAACTATCCTGTATTCACTTATGTAGAAAAAGTGTATGTCCATCATTTTACTTGTTATCTCAATCCCAGAGTTTCCCCCACACACTTTGCTTTCTCCAGCCTCCCTAATCTTTCACCAATAGATTTCATGTAACCCACTTATGCCCCCCACCCCCTTTTTATTGTAATATACAGCATGAAGTGTAAAACTGCCATTTCCTAGAGTATTTTCTCAATCTGTTGAGATTTTGCTTCCTGGCAATTGTGATCAATTTGGCTCAAATAAACTCATAAAAATTCTTATAGGTTTTAGACACTTCTTACATCAACAGGCTAATGATTTTCAAGGAGGGCAAACTCTCCCCACCCCACTTTGAGGATCTCTGCCAGAGCAAGCCCCGGTTACCTATCAGAGCACATAGCATTCTTTTGTGTTTTAAGGCTGCAAAGTGAGCAATAAACACAATTTTAAAGGATTTTGAGTAGAAAGAAGGATGTTTTGTGGTGTGTGTGTGTATGTGTGTGTATGTGTGTGTTTAAGAGGTTTTCCCCACAGGAAATCTTTTTCTAAGCCCAATATGTAAATAGAAGAAACTCTCACCATTCTGTTGGAAATGGGGGTGGAAGTCCTGGAACACCACTTGCTCCTGTGCCTTGTTTCTTTGCCTCTGCAACCCATCAGCAGAGGAGCTTCACAGAACCCCGAGGGCTCTAAGAAGTTGCCTTGGGGCTTACACTCAGGGGCACACAGTGTGGACCATGCTCATGGAAACTAAGATATGGCTGCCAGTCACCTCTGCAAAGGTGGTGGTCCCCGCACGGGACCAATGACCCCTGGGAGCACACCTGTCTGGGAGAAAGCCGCCCCCACATTCCCTTCCCGATGCCAGACAGTCCAGTTCCTCCCCACATGTCCCTGGATTCCTCCAGCTTCCACCAGAAAAGTCCATTGTTATCTATGTCACATATCGGGTTGCTTGTAACATTTCCTTTGAGGAAAGGGTCCTGTGGATATTCTCTCAAGTTCAGAAGTCACTGTTATAAAGGAAGGGCTGGACTGCAGAGCCTTTAAGTAACGCCTCGTCAGGTGAGCTTGTGAGAGAGCTATACCGCTGGCCCCTCATCTAGCCCCTCCCAGTGCAGCAATTCACGCCCAAACTGCCCACCCCTGGTTCTAGGAAAACTCTCCTCTCCGCCACTGCTTCCCCAGCTCACAGAGTGGTGGTGGTGGCTGCTCCTAGATCCTCAATCTCTCCTCTGTTCCTCTAGTTCCTCTTCTCGTGGGCCAGGGGGAGCCCCAAGGCCTTCCCCACCTGTTAGCCATTTTCATAGATCGGGAGAACACATGGCCGTTCTTGGTGTTCTGTCGCCAGGCCGCTCTCCTCTCAGAGAGGGGGAACAGCTCAGTCCCAGGAGAGCCTGCCCACATCCGATGGTCTAACTTCCAGGCCACCTTCCGTGCTCTGAGGTCAGGACTCCAGACCGCCTCTCTGTCCTCTAGCGAGAAGGACATGACCCAGAGAGCAGAGTGACACCAGGGGTGTCACAAAAATCTCTGTAAGTGCTAAGCTCTTTGGGGTACTTGACAGGGAAAGGGGGTATTTCCAGGTGAGAACAATTTGTTTTACTTATTTTTAAAAATATACATTTTAAAAAATTGATTTTAGGGGGGAAGGCAGAGGGAGGGAGAGAGAGAGAGAGGGAGAGAGAGAAACATCAATGATGAGAGAGAATCATTGATTGACTGCCTCCTGCAAGCCCCCCATTAGGGATCAAGCCCACAACCCAAGGATCTGCCCTTGACTGGAATCAGACCCAGGACCCTTCAGTTCGCAGGCTGACACTCTATCCACTGAGCCAAGCTGGCTAGGGCTCTCATGTTTTTCATTTGGAAAATAAGGAGTTGGACAAGATCAGTAGGTCTGAACTATTTTTTTCTTTGAGCAAAAGCACCCTGTTTTCAGCACCTGCATCTATCAAGGGATAAAATCTGAGATCCTGTCCTCACACCTGCTTCCTGCCCCCATCCCCCCCTTCCAGTCCTGGTGGATTCCCAGGAGGAAAGACTCAAAGCCCCTCTCGGCTCTAGGAAGCCCAGCTCACAGAGGCAGCTGTCTCACTGCGCTCCTCTGGGGGAAAGAAACCCTTTGTGCTCGGAGACAAAGGCGTGGCGGCTGGGGAACTTCCTCTCTGCTTCAGCCGAAGGGAGCAGCAGGCAAGGTGGCATTCTCAGACGTTAGTGCACACTGAACCCCCCCCCCCCCACCCCCACCCCAGGATTTGCCTAAGCAGGTGGGTTTGCAGGCCTTTGCTCTGCTGCCCCTGTCCTGCTTCCCTGGGTCTGGAGTGGAGCCAAGGAATTAGCATTGTCACCGGTGCTCCTGGCGATTCTGAGGCAGACAGCACAACACCTGCTTTTTGAGAACTATCAGCATGAAGGAAGCAAAGGACATGCAACCCGGGAGGCTGATTTCAGAAAAGGAGAGCAGACAAGTCATGGCCAAGAGAGAAACTGAGGAGAGAGAGAGAGAGAGAGAGAGAGAGAGAGAGAGAGAGAGAGAGAGAGAGAGAGAGAGAGAGAGAACACCACCACTCGGGGATCTGTGGTATGCAGGAGAGACAAGGAACCAGTCATTGGAGTGTCAAAAGGCCCAGCTTAGTGTGCTGAGCCTCTGTGTCCCTACTGGGTGGAGTGGTGAGGAGGCAGGCGACCATGCTTGAAATCAGGGGGCAACTTTATTTTATTTTATTTTTTAATAGATCATTTTATTTTTAAAAATATATATCTTATTAATTTTTTACAGAGAAAAAGGGAGAGGGATAGAGAGTTAGAAACGTCGATGAGAGAGAAATATCCATCAACTGCCTCCTGCACTCCCCCCCCCCCCCCCCACACACACACACACTGGGGATATGCCTGCAACCAAGGTACATGCCCTTGACTGGAATCAAACCTGGGACTCTTCATCCGCAGGCCGACGCTATATCCACTGAGACAAACCATCCAGGGCTGGGGTGGGGGGTGGGGGGGGAGGGTTTGCACTTTATAAAGTATATGATAGTCTAACCACTATGCTGTACACCTGAAATGAATACAGAATAATATCAAATGTAAAATGCAATTGAAAAAGAAAATTCAATTAAAAAATACAAAGACAGAAGCACACAAAGCACCAAGAGGGGCTGATTGTCCTGGCAGCAGTGCCTGCGGTCTCCTCAGTCTGGGGGCTGATGGGTGCTGCCAGTGGGCACTCCTGTGTAAACCCCTCCCTGTGTCTTATGCCAGAGACATCCTGCCCAGTCTCCTCATTAGCCAGACATTCGCCAGTTACAAAGGCCCCATCTTTATAATGGCAAAGCATATTATATGATCCAGACGCTTCACCGGCCTCCAGTCATGACAATGACTTCCTCAAGCCCTCACCCCGCGCCAGGCCCTGCGAGATGCTTCCAGGCACCGTTTATGTTTACAAGCTCCAGGAAAGCAGGTGCTGTGAGTACCCGTCCTGATGATGAAGGGGCCCAAGCAGTTTGGTTCAGGATGCATCCTCTCATCTCCTGTCCATCCACCGACTCCCTCCAGATCTCCAGGGCAATGTGTGGACCTGAAAAGCTAAGGATGGTCTTGAACTCTTAAGGCTCAGCCGTCTTACTGTGAGCCCTTAAATAAGGGCTGTCTGGATATTCTACTGTTCCTGGGTAACCAAACAATGTATCCCATAACTCAGAACACTTCTTAAGAGTGAAAAGGAACACTACTAGTATTAAGAATAAGGCCAGGAAAACATTCTTAAACTGAGGTTATCCCAAAAACCTGGACACAGAGTCACCTCCCCTGTTGCAGACTTTGTCCATCTTCCCGAAACACTTGCTTTTCACACACACACACACACACACACACACTCACACACACACACTTAAACTTTCAGGTTCAGCAAATAACTTGGCCTCTTGTTTAGGAGAAAATATTTATGGCCACATTTTAAGGAATATAGAATATAGATTCTCCTCAACTAGAAATCTTTGATATGCTTGCTAAGGACAGTAAGGTAGGTCAAATGTCACAGTATGAAAACTCTGGGGTACCAAGATGAATTGGGTGTTGTTCACATCGACATCTGTACACCATCTAAGGCCGGAGATGTTGCCGAATATCCCAGCAAGTGAACGTCTGGTCTTAGCTTGAATACCAGGGGCCAAAACTACCTCCCAAGGTCACCCAGTGTGTCCTGGACAGCTCTGACGGTCAGAGATATTTTTTTATTTCTTACACTCATCCTTAGTCTGATTTGATCCACATTATATCCTCACAGAGTGATTTAAAGATTTTCTGTAACATTAACAACTGGATCAGCAATCTGGTACAAATCGCTTTAGTAAAGAGGGTCAAGTTTTCTTCCGCTGAATAATTGCTCAATTGGGAATATAACTAGCTTGAAATAGAAAGACTTCATTCATTCATTCATTCATTCATTCCAAAAATATCAGTGGAGCTACATGTGTCTTGCACGGGAGCCAGAAACAGTGGGACATACAGAGATGTCCCAAAAGATGGGGTCTGTCTAGGAGATAAAGACGTTTATAAGATCAAATGATCACAGCTCCATCGGAGCTGCTGAGGCTGGACAGAAAGTTTCCTAAGAGTTTGGGAGAGGTGGTATGTCTGGGGGGTGGGGGTGGGGAGATCTGGACACATAGTAGGTGGGGAGACTCGGAAGGCTTCACTTAGGAAGTGGGAGCTGAGCTGATGGACAAGAAACATGAGTCAATGGGTAAACCATCTTTCCAATGAGGTGCAGAGAGAGACATCTTCTCAAGGAGGGGGAGGGGCTTTGTGAGAAAGGAGGAAGTTAGGGGCTGGAGTTGGGGTGAAAAGTGTTTCACTCTCCTCAGGACTGTCAGAGAGTCACCGTCAGTAGTAGCTTGCGGACAGCTTGTATTCCTCAGCCTTCGGCACTGGCCAGGTTCACCTTCCGGGCACCAGGCTGCTGACATGGGGGCCCTTCCGTGGCTGCTCCTGCTCTCACTGCTCCGGGAAGGTGAGAGCCACTGCAGCGGGCACAGGAGTGTGCCCTCCAGCCTCTGTTTCCAGCGGCTGAGCCTGGGGCTAGCAAGTCACTTTCTTTGGGGTCAAAGGAGTGAAGAGGAAGAGGGGATGGCTTCAGGGCGGGACCAAGAGAAGAGGAGACATGGGATATGGAAGGAGAGTAACCCCAGGATGGCAAACAGAGCAGGTCAAATCGGGAGGGTGAGGACACAGATGGAAGCTGAGCGCTGGTAGGTGCCCCAGTCACGCTGGGCAGAAAGCTGACGCCGGAAGAGGCAGAGGAGGGCAGGGCTGAGGGTTGGGCCAGAGCAGTTAGTTGCTCGATGAGAGTGAGGGCACAGTCCTGCTGCCAGTCTCAGCAGCCCAGAGGCGCCAGCTGGTCTGTTTGCACCCCGTTCCTGCCCGTATCTGCAGCCAACGGAGATTCTGGAGACGATGCGGATCCTGAGGAGGTGGTCGCAGCCCTGCAGGAGTCCATCAGCCTCCCCCTGGAGATACCGTCTGACGAAGAGGTTGAGGACATCATCTGGTCCTCCCACATCAGGCTTGCTACCGTGGTGCCAGGAAAAGAGGGACATCTAGCTGCCACCACGGTGACTGACCCTCGCTACGAGGGCCGAGTGAGCTTCCTGGGCCCCAGCTACTCTCTGCACATCAGCAATCTGAGCTGGGAGGACTCGGGGCCTTACCAGGCTCAAGTCAACCTGAGGACGGCCCAGATCCCCATCCTGCAGCAGTACAGCCTGCGCATCTACCGTGAGTTTCGTCTGGGAACTGCACACCCGCTCTGGCTGGCTCTCCTGAGCTTCCCATGCGCAGGAGGAGGGGCCTCGGACTTGGGGTTATGACAAGAGGGGTTGGGACTGGAAGGCAGACTGTCCCTAGTGTACCCAACCCCAGCATCTGGGCTGCCTGGCTACCGCAGGTAGAGTGACCCGGAGCATTCACGTAGCACTGGGCATGGAGCTGTTCCTGTGGAGGTGCCTGACAGAGCACAGGGCTTTATGGGTAGATTTCTGGGAGACCTGCCGAAACCGGTTTGGCTCAGTGGTAGAGCGTCGGTCTGCGGACTGAAAGGTCCCAGGTTTGATTCCGTTCAAGGGCATGTACCTGGGTTGAGGGTACATCCCCAGTAGGGGGTGTGCAAGAGGCAGCTGGTCGATGTTTCTCTCTCATCGACGTTTCTAGCTCTCTATCTCTCTTCCTTCCTCTCTGTAAAAAATCAATAAAATATATTTAAAAAAAAAAAGATTTCTGGGAGACCTTCTGTCCCCATGAGATTCACACTGGTTGGGTGTGTGTGAATGCACCTCCAGTCTTGAGCCTTTTTTTTTTTTATTTTTTTTTTTAATCCTTCCGCGTGATTTGAGGGCTACTAATCAGTGAATGCAAGTTCCTTCTTAGTGCCTGTGACATGGACTGATATTCTACCTGAATCTTGTTAAGACACTGATTAAACTATAAATGTCCCTGAGAGGATAACAATGTGTTCTGGGATCGAGGAGGTGGAATGGGGTTTGGAGGAAGGTGGGGTGCCGGAGAGAGAGAGAAGCGAGGTATAAGGGGAAGTGGGAGATGCCACAGGCAGCTCTGCCTGCCATGGCAGCTGCCCGGGGATCCCGGGCTGGAGGGTGGCTGAGTTTTGTTAGTTTCTGCCTACTTGTTTGGGTGGAGGGGCCCTCAGAGGACAGCACCCACACCCCGGGGATGAGGAACTTAGGAAAACAGACCCACGCCCTGGTGACCTAGAAGGCTTTTGTGTTCCTCCTGCATCCAGGTCGGCTGTCGGAGCCTTCCATCGCTGTGAGCTTTGAGACCTCTGGGGTCGGTCCCTGTAACGTGTCCCTGACCTGCTCTGTGGCGCAGGCAGGCCTGGACGTGACCTACAGCTGGGTGTCCCGGGCGGACGGGGTTGACACGGCACACGAAGGCTCTGTCCTCAGCACATCCTGGAGGCCTGGGGACAAGGCCCTCTCCTACACCTGCAGGGCAAGCAACCCCGTCAGCAGCAGAAGCTCCTCTCTCATCCCTGCTGGGCCCTTCTGCGCAGGTACCAGCACCCGGACAGCCCCGAGCTGCTCAGGGCCTCAAGGCTACCACCTTCATGTGTCAGTTCTTCCCAAGAGAACACATGGAATCTAGAACCTAACTCTCTCCCTGCCCCCCCTAGGGACTTGACCCCTGGATTGGGTGGGGGACTCCCCTCTTTCCCTAGAACGCCCAGTTTCCAAAGGTCTCTACTAGTCTCTTGCTCAGCTTGAGATTGCTCCCCAGATCGCAGTTCCTGAGCTTCTGTGAATAGGAAAAGTATTTCAAGGGACACTTGCAAGGGAACATCAGCGGACTGAACTTGAGACCCCTCTGTGGGATTTGGGGTGGGTGTCTGTAACTCACCACTCCCTTTGGTAAGCCCCCCTCTCCCCCTGCCTCCTTCCTTCTGTTCCAGATCTCAGATACCCTTCAGAGAAGGCCTCAGCTTCCTTCTGCCTCCTGACCAAGGCATTGCTGTTCCTCCTGCTCTTGGTAACTCTGGCCGTGGGGCTGTGGCTTGCTCGAGGCCAGAAAGAAAGCAAGACACCAAGGGTGAAAAAAATCAGGAGAAACAGATTGAAACTGAAAAAGACAGACAAGCCTGGCCCAGCTGGCTTAGTGGTTGAACGTCAGTCTAGAAACCAGGAAGTCACAATTGGATTCCCAGACAGGACACAGGCCCGGGTTGTGGGTTCAATCCCCAGTTGGGGGCGTGCAGGAGGTCTGTGATTCTCTCTCATCATTGATGTTTCTTTCTCTCTTCCTTTCTCTTTCTCTGAAATCAATAAAAGCATATTTAAAAAAAATTCGAAGCCGGTTTGGCTCAGTGGTAGAGCGTCGGTCTGCGGACTGAAAAGTCCCAGGTTCGATTCCGGTCAAGGGCATGTACCTTGGTTGCGGGCACATCCCCAGTGGGGGGTATGCAGGAGGCAGCTGGTTGATGTTTCTCTCTCATCGACGTTTCTAGCTCTCTATCTCTCTCCCTTTCTCTCTGTTAAAAATCAATAAAATATATTTTTAAAAAATAAATAAAGGTGAAGCAATTTAGAGAGAGAGAGAGAGAGAGAGAGAAGGAGGAGGAGGAGGAGGAGGAGGAGGAGGAGGAGGAGGAGGAGGAGAAGGAAGAAGAAGAAGAAGAAGAAGAAAAAGAAGAAGAAGGAGGAGGAGGAGGAGGAGGAGGAGGAAGGAAGGAAGGGAGGGAGGGAGGGAGAGAGGGAGGGAGGGAGGGAGGGAGGAAGGAAGGAGCCTGGCCCTCGCCTGGTCTGATAGTTCTTTGGGGACCCCCATCCTGACCACCGTTTCTTCCCAGCTGCAGGAAACCCTCCCTCTTCTACCAAAGCTTTCCTTGTTCCAGGGGCGGAGGATGGATGTACAAAGGTCCTTACCCTCCCAGGGACAATGGAATAAAGTTGAATTAGGTGACTGCCATCTGGAGAAGCTTGTTTGGTCCCTCACTGGATGACTTTGGTAAGCCTACATCTCTTCCCTTCCTCTCCAGGTGCTCCCTCCATCTCCTCCCTTCCTCCCCAGGTGCTCCCTCCATCCCCTTCCCTTCCTCTCCAGGTGCTCCCTCCAGCCCCTCCCTTCCTCCCCAGGTGCTCCCTCCATCCCCTTCCCTTCCTCCCCAGGTGTTCCCTCCATCCTCTCCCTTCCTCTCCAGGTGCTCCCTCCAGCCCCTCCCTTCCTCTCCAGGTGCTCCCTCCAGCCCCTTCCCTTTTACTCAGTTATTCTCTCAAATCCCCACTTCCTTCCACTCCAGGTGCCCCCTTCCCAGCCCATGTTTTCTCATGCCCGCCTTTGGGGATAGGAGGCTTCACAATGTGGTGTTGGCAAATTATTCTTCACCTTCCCCATTAATTTACAGTGTTTACACTTTAAATGGGAGAAGTGAGAGATTTCCTCTAATTTTCCTAACTTGTGACTCTTCAGTGGGCCCATTGCTGGCACTGAGAACCCTGTGAGTAGGGTTGTTTCTGCTCAGCTCTGCTCTCACAGCCCTACTTTCACCCTGGCTGCAAGTTCACCTCACTATTCCCCTGCACCCCACCCCAGTCTAGAGGCTGGGGTGTCAGTGAAACAGAAACTCCTCCCCCCCTCAACCCCTCTCAGTGCTGATCCTCTCTGGGACTGAGCGAGCCTGGAGCCTTCCAGCCATTTCCCTGATGCCAGCTGCTCTCACCCTCTGGTGCCTACCCCATGGGGATAACTGCGGGATCAATCGCTGTGGTCTGGACCCTTAACCCTTAACCATTTGTGGTTGGTCTTACTGTCCTCTCTCTATAGATTTCCATGGCTCACACCTCTCTGGATTCCTGTCCTGGGTGAATGCCTACCTCTTACACACCACTCCTCTTGGGCAAAGGCCCTTAAAGCTGTGTTCCTGTTCTTTCCTTAGTCCAAAGATTAGCCGAATTCCTCATCCAGGCCCCATCAGCCAAGCCTTGGTCATCCTCCAAAATCATACCTTGTGAAGCTGCCATGGGTAGGGGAATTGGGGAGAGACTTGGAAGTCCCCAGGTGACAGGACACGTGTCAGGAGTGAGTGAATGGCAGGGGTTATGGAGTCCAGTGGGGAGAGCACTGGTAAGCTCTCAGGAGATCTGGGCTCTGCCCTGCCACTCTCCTCTAGCTTAGGACAGGAAGTGCCCACTGGGGTACAGCTCCTTCCACAGAGAACGCACACTGAAGGAGAGGCAGGTATTGGCACAGCTAATTGGCGCGTTTACAGAGATACAGCTAGGAGAGTACTGGGCTCCCACAGAGGCTGGAGGAGCTGGGCCCCAGGGCGTTTAAGAGTCTGAGGAGCTGGGAAGGGGGCACGTGACAGAAGCCATTCCAGACATTTGTCTGGACCTCACCTTCCCCCCTCTCCCAGCGAGGACAAAGACACTGACCTCCAAAGTGTCCTCCAAGAGAAGGGGTCCTGGGCTGCGAAGGGGCTTTGGCATGTACAGGGGATGGTGGAGGTGAGGACACTGCTTTGGGGAAACCTGGGCGTGTGGGCCAGGTGCCAGGGACCTAGGAGGGTGACTCTGAGCGGCATGGGCAGAAGCTAAGAGCCAGGCCTCCCGGACAGGACAGGAAGCGGGGCCAGGAGGTGAGGAGGGGCTTCCTATCTAGGTTTATGTGCGGGACAGGGAGCCCCGGGGGCTGGGGCAGGTGTGGGGAGGGTGGGAAACCAGTCCCCAAAGAGCTCCCGTGTCTGGCCACAGATCCACTCTGCTCTCTGAGGGCCCCAGCCCGGGGTCTGCAGGAAGGCAGTCCCTGGCAGTCCCTGGCAGTCCTGATTTTCCACACCTCCCCCCCCCCAACCCCCCAGGCCTAAGGAGCCCCACTTCCTGCAAGGCCTGAGTTCGATACACCCACAGCCCCCATGCTCTTCGGTTCCTCTTCACCTTCCTGAGAACTGGGGAAGGTCAGCAGGTTTCTATCCACAGCACTCACAGGGCAGCTCCTCTGGCAGCCCAGACACAGCGAGTGAATCAGGGAGAGAAGGGAGCCTGTGCAGCTGGCCCAGGGCTCTCCCTGCAGTCTCTGAACACGGAGAGGAAAGGGTACCCGGAAGAAGGGGGCTAAGACCCTCAGAGGAGCGGAATATAAGCTCAGAGAGGCCACACCTCCTTCTCTGAGGGGAGCACTTTGCAGCTTGCAAAGTCTGCTCAGTCTTTGAAACAGGGGAGAGCACACATTTCGGCACCTCCTGTCTGTCAGGCACCGGGCTAGCACCGAGAGGAAGTGACGACTATCTGCCCGCCAGGAGCTGTGTGGGGTGTGTAAAGATACAATCTCAGTGAAGGTGACACGGGTGTGGGTGAAGGTGGGAGGAGTCAGGCATGCATGGCTCTGAGGGAGGAGGGAAACGGAGTTTGACCAGTGATTAGCAGGGTGAGTCCTGGGAAGGGAGAAAGAGGACACTGTGACCAGACAGCAGATAAGGAAGCAGACGCTGCGTGAAAAAGCACAGGGGATTCCAGGGACGGAAGGCCAGGCCTTGCCCGGCGCCTGGTACAGGGGTAGGTGACAAATGAGTCTGGAGAGATGGGCAGGGCCCCTCTGAGAGGCGAAAGGTTCCAGGGAAATTCACGGGGGTACAAGACGGGCTCCACACGCTCACGGGCCAGAGTCTCATCCAGACAGGAGACAGCACACCAACAGTTACATGGCAATCTGGGAGAAACCACACTTTTTTTTTTTTAATCACGACAAGTATTCATCAACCAAATCCCTGGAATTGACAACCTTTTCTGATCTTTTGTCAACAAGCTGAAAGTAAGTTCCTTTGGTTAGGCAGAATCCTAGTCGGCTAGATACACTTTCCCAGAGAGTAATGATTATTGGTTGAGATCAACCGGAGGAAAATCTTTAATTGTGAGCCTCAGGGACTAGTCCCCCACCCACAACCCCCATTTATTTTGGCATAGGGGTGAGGGAACGAGTTATAGGGCTAGGCTCCCTTTCTTACCAAAAAGCCATCACGATACAGCAGAATCACAGCAAAATAACCACAAGACACAAAATAAGCTTCCAGGAAAAAAATGAGCATGTCATACATAATCTTTTAAAAATGGGAAATCATTTAAATCCCACGTTTACAAAAGAGTGATTTTAGTGTGCAAGTGAGATCAGCTTATCCTCAAGAAAACACTGGGGCAGCAGGAATGCAACCTTTGGACCAAAGGAGGAGCCCATTGCCCTGCACTGAGGCAGCCATCTCTCGCTCTTGGGGAGGGGCCAAGAGGAAAAGACGCTTCAGCCATTGTTCCTGGGCACGCTGCCTGGCCTGGCTTTCCTGCGTGCCCACCAACACGATTTCATTACATCCTGTCACTGTTCGCTCCATCCCTTAGGTGACGTATGGCCGACACCTGCCACTTTGGGAACATTTGCTGGAGGGATGGTGAGAGAGAACTCCTGCCTCCCCTCGTCCTCCAGGGCCCCCCTCCGCATTGCCATCTCAGGCACCCAGACGTTTTACGCGCGCGCGCACACGCACACGCATTGTCTTCCAGACACTTTCCTGGGAGGACTTTCCCCACAGTGAGAGTCGCTACAGGTGGATTATTCCCGGGTGGTGAGCTTCCTGGCCCAGGACATGGTCACATGGGGCTGGCTGCTCACCTGGAGGCCGAGGCAGGGACACAGGTGAGCACAGTGCTGAGACTCATTGTAGGGTCGTCTCTCCTGACGTTGAGGCCACGATTTTGTGAATCAACGCTTGTTGCACTAAGTTTGAGTCCCAGAACTTCATACTGGGGGACGATCAGTGTTCTGCTTTCAGGAAAGACTTCCGGAGGGGAGACAGGACCGCGTACACCTGGCGGGGAGTGCATGGCCAAGCGGCCTCCACATGGAAGGCGGCACAGAGCTGAGGAGTGGAAGGCCCAGAGGCACAGACATGTAAGATGTCTCTGTGCCCGAGGCTGGCATGCCCCAGGGCGGGCTGATGAAGCCAGGGTAGGGCTCTGCCCACGTCCTAGATGGCGAGCCCTGGGCAAGTCCCTTCCCCTGGCTCCCTGAGTCTTGGCTTTCCCATCAGTAACCAAACCCACTTCCCAGGGCTTCCGTGCGGCTTGCATAACAGTTACAAACGCGGAGTCCCGAGTCTGGCACTGGCAGGGGCTCAGCCAAAGCTCACATTCCATCAGGATGCCTCTCTCTCCTCTCTTCTGGGCCTGCTCCTCTGGTGGCTGGCGCGGGGCACGGGGCGGAGTGGACTTGGCAGCCTCCGC